AAGGATACCCATGTATCACTGACCCAACCACTCATTGTAACAGAACAGGACAATATCACATACACACACAGCACAGCAGTCCTTTACTCGACATACTGTACTGTAATGCAAAAGTGTGTAGACAGACATAGGTCAGGAACACAATAATGTGGCTTTGTTTATGTGGAGCTAAAAGGAGATGAGCTCTGAAACATGAAGCAGGGAGCTGGCTTGCGGACGTTCAGGGGTTTTTAGCTCAAAGTTGTCTGTTGAGAACCCAAATTTGAGGATTGTATTGTATATTTTGTGTCGAGTCCTCTACACCACTCCTCAGCCATTTAGCCTGAGGTAGAAAGATCGAAAACCCTAAACCATCATCCGTGATTCCTCAAAGATTTCACCCCAATTCTGGTTTCCCCTTTAGGGCAAACACTGCTACCGCAGATCAAAATGTTTCCCATGAATCATCAACTGAAAAACATCAGACCACAGATAGGTGCAGTGTGTTTGTGTGTGTGTTCAGTTATTCTACCCCTTGCTTCCTATTGTCCTGGTCTCTGCCTCATTGCCTTCACAACTGCTATTGATTTATGGCTACAAATTGTTTCCTTCAGCCTGAATGGATACTTAAACTGCATCCCTGTGTGTGTGTGTGTGTGTGTGTGTGTGTGTGTGTGTGTGTGTGTGTAACCATGACAGGTAGGAGTAAATCAACAGCTTGTACATCCAACAGTTAGATAAAACATTGAGACATATTAGAGAACATTAACACAATTTATTCTATACAAATATATGTGGGGTTTATGGTGTTTGGAAATTTACAAATATATTGGTTTTATACTAATTTTGTGTTGCTTCAGTTGTGTTCAATTTCAATTCAATGTGAAGGGTGTATATTTTCAGTATATTGGAGACTCTAAATTTAATATAGGTTTGTGTCTATATGTCAGTCCTGGTGATCTGTCCAAGGTGTACCCCACCTCCCGCCCAATGTAAGCTGACACCCCCTAGTATACTATCAACACAACCTGTCACAACAAATGTTTTGTATAAAATAGACAATATTTATGCAGTCTTTTTTTTTTTTTTACTTTTGGAGAGTATTTAGTACATATACTGTGTATATGTTAATTCCATGTGAGTTGAGCATCATTCCAGACATCAAAAAACCTTTTTTCTTCTTTGTTCAATTTATTGGCGGGTGGAAACCAACATCAAGGTGCATTACCGCCATCTATTGTGTTGGTGCACTGTTCCTGGAGGTACTTTTACTTACTCTATCCTTTGTCCATACATTTCCATCATCATGGGTAAAATGTCCTTTGATCATCATGGGTAAAATGTCTTTTGATCATGAGTAAAATGTCTTTTGGAGATGCTTTTTTACTCTGGAGGTTAGGGTCGATAAACCCATCAAAGAAGAAGTTTCTGTACTTAAAGCTTGTTTCAAATGGGATACACAACTGTACCAGCTGCAAATAAAACGAACAAAGAAGAATACTGATATTGATATTTTTATGGACCAACTTGAAGCCACAAAGTCCCAGGAATTCTGTCAAACAGAACGCAAACCTCAACCTCTGCCAACGCCTGAGATCATCCCAGAGAAGGAAAAATGCAAACCGGTCAGCGTCATAAAGAAAGACGCTGAACACAAGAGAGTTTTGGCTCTGCAGAAGAAAAAACAAGAAAGAAAAAAAAAGGAAGAGCCGCAGAGAGTCAACCAAATCAAGAGCAGCAAGGCCAAAACTGCTGGTATTGGTTCTAGCTGAAAACAAGCTGCTCTTTTTTCTCTGAAAACTCTTCATGAATCTATAATATTTTAGAACAAATACATATTTTTCCACTTTTCTATTGGTGATAACTTTATTTTTGTGGCATTTTCTGGCAGTACATCTCACCACAGTTATCACTCTCCATCCATTTCTGCAGGTCCTTGTAAAATGGGATCAAACTATGGATCTCTTGTCAAGGAGGCGATCGTGTTGCTGGACAAGTTCAGTGATGGCAAACAGAGTTTAGATCACTTCATAGAAGATGCTGCAAAAGATCTGCAGGTAGGTGAAGTCAGATCTGTGTTTTATCTTTTCATGTAACACCAATTTAAATTTGATTTTTTTCACCTTTATACTGTAAGGTTTTTGTTTGTTTTATCTATAGCTTTTTTGAGGGGTGGGTTGTTCTTGTTTATTTTATTCATAACTTTTCCAGAAAAAAAGACAGAAGATTGAAGCAGTTATCAAACAAGAAAATGTTTTTATTTAAAGTTTCTTACTATTGTGACCAGCCTAGATTGTCTTTTTCTGAAGATTGTTCTAATAGACACGTGATAAGCAATGAAAGAATTCTGACCTATGGAGTTTGTTGCAGAAACAAAACATGGGAGCCTAGGTTTCTTTAGATTGTTTGCATTTGATACAGAGTGGAGATGAGGGTGGGTAAACTGAGTGTCATTTAACACGTGGATGATGGAGTCTATGTAAGACCTTATATTGAATTAACCAATGGTTGAGGTCAATTGAGCAAGAGTGTATACTAAGAAGACATTTAGCCCATTAACACTTTGAGATTTCTACTCCCATGTCACTTTCCCGGGATGTCCTCAGATGATGCATAGGTGGAGCAGTGCTGTACACAATTACAAACTAAGAGACCAGTTTTTTGGTTTAACCAGTTTAACAGGTTCAGCTGTCAGTATGGACTGAAGCTCATCAGGAGAATTATAAGTTTCAAAGTTTGAAATACTTCCTTTGACATAGTTCCTGATTTGCAGATACCCAAAAAAAATCTGATGACTGCAGTATAAATTTGACTCTAAGCGGATTAAATGAGGAGAATCCATTATTAGTACACAAGTCACTGATGGTAGCAAGACCTTTCCTCCTCCAGATATATATAACAGTATCTTTGTGAAGGGAGAAATACATGATTATAACAAACGGGTGATAAAGTAGAAGTGTTTGATAAATTGAACACTTTTTTTTATTTGATGCTGTACTTTTAACAAGTTTTTGATTATTAAACCAATCCATTTAAATGACCTGAGAGGTTTTTGGAGCAGCGCTGGAAGGGAACGTAATGTTATGCTCTATAGCCAACAATGATGGGGTTGTGTCTTAAAACTCTTCAGGATATGCATCCTGTCGGTAAATAAGGGATCAGGCATTGGCTGTCTTTAGATTTACAAAGATATTTCTACCTATAAGTGTTTTGGGTATGTTTTGAAGTAAATATAGGAACCTTGACAGTTCACCATTTTCACAGAATTAATATGGCCAATAATTGACAGATGAAGTCTTTGTTTTTCATAACTCTATAGTTCAATTTATAAAGAAGTTCTCATTGCTTAGGAACATGAACCCCATGTCACTAGGTATTGTACATGTTCAGTAATCTTAAACAGAAGATTGCAGAGAAACTCTGGATCTAGGTCCTGAATGAGAGGCATACATTCACTCTTCTGCCAATTTATAGTACACCCCGATAGTTTCCCAAACTTTGTAATAAGGTCTAACAGTGGTGGGACAGATTCCTCAGACCGTGAGAGAAATAAAACTATGTCAGCATCTTCAGCAAATTCGTTAGAAATCCATTCTCCAAACACCTAATTATTCTGATATGAATTTCTTTTTTTTTGCAGGACAGGGATGCTCAGCATAAGAAGTTCTTACTTGATGTTGTCTCTGGATGCACTGAGCACAGAAATTTACTGGATGAAGTTGTCGATGAATTCTACGACCAGAATGGGGAAACGTTATCCAGCAGTGACCGGCACCAGTTTGTCAGTAAGTTAATGAAATAAACAGCCATTAATTTTTGTTTTACTCTTGATAAAAGAACATGTTTATAACACTCTGTTGCTCCTCAGTTACATTTTACCTCGCTATATTCGTCCTCGATGACATGGGGCTTCAGTTTTTTAGCAACATTGTCAAATCTCTGGACATCAAGAAGATGCACACAGTAAGTTTCTAAACACATCACTATCCTTGAAGTGGAAAGACACAGCAATAAAAGCTCTGTTGTGTGTTTTTTTTTATAGTTCCTCAACTTCTTTCTCACYCACCTCACCACAAGTGCAAAGGAAGAGCGGAATGATATCTATGATGCTGCCTGTGTGGAGGAACAGTGGATCGGTCGCCTGCTGAGGTAAAATAGTCCTGGGAAATCCTTCTCAGACTATTACACTATAAAAACAAGACATGACAGCATATGTTTGTTTGTCCTTTAGATGGCGCCCAGATATTGTATTTCTCGTGGACCAGCTTGCTTTGAAAATGTCCTGTGAGAGTCAGGTCAAGAAAGCGCCGATCAAAACCACAAAGCCCCAGGAGTTCCGTCTCACCAAACCCAAACCACGACCTCCGCCGATGGCAAAGCTCATCCCACAGCAGATAAAATGCAAACCGGTCAGCCTCATTCAGTTATACACTGTATTTAATTCCAATATTGCTAATCAGTTAGTTTACATATGTACCCACTGCTGTTTTAGCCTGTAGATATTAAGCTGTAGATTCTGTAGGGGCTGATTCACTGAACTCATGAGGCTTTTGTTTTATAGGTACCAATCACCACACACAGAACTCCAAAGGAGCTGAAGATCATACAGCAGATAAAACAGGAGAACAATCAGAAGACTAAGGTACAGCGTCTGATTTTACCATTATCTCCAAAAAATACTCTGATAAAAGGCAAAAGATGGTCTGTTTAACAAATATATTATAATACAGGAAATTTAAAAAGAGGGGGTAGGAGTAAATCAACAGCTAGTACATCCAACAGTTAGATAAAACACAGAGAAAAATTCGCAAACATTAATAAATATATTTTATTCCAATGCATGTGGGGTTTATGGTGTTTGGACAATTTCTAAATATACAAATTTCCCGGTTTTACACGAATGCACTAATGTTTCTTCTGTTGTGTCAGCTGACACCCCCAAAACCCTGAAATGATAAATAATCACTACTTACATGTACCTAATTACATGCATTTGTAATGACATCCTATCTGTTTTCCACAGGAACTGCTGAATGAGGCAGACAGGAAACAGTTCAGATGCGGGAATCCACAAAAGTCTGAACGCACTAAGGTAGGGACTTTTTTCTGTGATTGATATGGTTTTCTCATTTTACCTCGCTGGAGGCTGGATTCAACCTTGACGTTAATCACACATTCACTTTTTACTTTGTATTGAGCCATTTTCACTGATCAGCTGTTGATGAACCATTATRTGTGTTGCAGCGAGTGATGGACCAGATCAAGAAAGATTTGGATTCAAAGCTCCAGTTCAGTTCAATTCATCCCACTAAAGTTCCGCCTAGTAATAAGGTGAGATCTGATTATTTCATCTGCTTCAAATGATCAATCTTTCATTGCATATGTATATGACTATCATGTATATTAATAACTAATGTGTTCATTTTGCTGATGTTGTCAGAACATAAATGTTCCCGTCAAGCCCAACAAAGCAGTCATGATGAGGGAGACAGCTCTGCTTCAACGTAAGAAGAAGGAGGAGCTGCAAAGGTACAGCACTGTGTTTACATGACACACGTTGACCCACTGCTCAGCATGATCAGTATCCCAAATTGGCACTGAAGGGCAAATGAAAACACCAAATGAGGAATGACAATGACTAATCACAAAAGACAACGGCAAATTTGTGGAATACAGAACTAGATGCTGAATCTCCTTTGTACATTTGAAGGTTCTCTGCAATATTTAAGTTACAAATAACCAGTAGATGTTAGCAGGTGTCGGAAGCCGCCAGTGGATGTCAGGGACATAACTTCAGATGTGCGCCTCAGCGTCATCAAGTGTTTAGGCGTTGTAATCAATGATGTAATCAATGATGTAATCAATGATGTAATCAACGCTCAGTAGATCAGATGTCATTACCTCTATGCCTTTTCAAACTAAACACTGTCCCATTTTAGAACATAGGAAAAGATGGAGAATATCCCTTTCCTGTTCAATCGCACTAAATAATGTCTACCACCAGTTGATGTTAGCAGATGTTAGTGACCACCAGCAGATGTTAGGGACATATCTTCAGTTGTATACCATAGTGTCATCAGGTGTTTCTGCGTTTTAATCAGAAGTCACCATCTTCTAAGGCAGACCCAACACAGGCTCATCAGACCTGGGTGCTATCAGCAGCATCTTGGGGCCCAGTTGGGATCTTTGCTCCAGATCCAGAGCCATTAGATGCAGTATTCTGCAGTGTGTGATGTTTCTTTTATAGGGGGGCATGTCTGTGCTGCTTCATCAACCACATCCTCCCAGGGTACTGTAAAATCGAAAAAAAAAAATAAAGTGTAGATGGCGCGCAGGGTATTAGACCAGAGTATCAAGTCTGGTCTCATGGTGGTCGTGACAATATGTGATGGAACTGTAAGCCAGTCAGTGGAGGAGGCCCTCTCTGTACCTGTTCCCCTTCTTGGACAAATGTTGTCCTCTGAACTGCGTTTGGTTTGGACGGCAAGACAGTGGTAGCAGTTCTCATTCTAGCCCATGTTATTATTTCTTCAAGTTTCCCTAGCAACTGTCTGGTGCATGGCGATGTTGTGGTCAGGGTTGTCATGACTTTCATGTATGCCCTGATTGGTGTTAATTGGAACCCCGACTTTTGTCACTCACCACCTACCACCCATTTTGAAACTCTGATAATCACCTTCATGACCATGATGAACTTGAGTGGGGAGAGCTTTGTAGCCAGCTATGATGCCTATAGACGCTCATGTTATGTTCTTTGGCATGTTGCAGGAAACAAGACGCTGAACACAAGAGAGTTTTGGCTCTGCAGAAGAAGTCCAAGAAAGAACAGGAAGAGCTGCAGAGACTCAACCAAATCAAGAGCAGAAAGGCCAAAACTGCTGAACATGGTATTGGTTCTAGCTGAAAACAAGCTGCTCTTCTTCCTCTGAAAACTCTTCATGAATCTATAATATTTTAGAACAAATTTTTCCACTTTTCTATTGGTGATAACTTTATTTTAGTGGCATTTTCTGCCAGTACAGATCATCTCACCACAGTTATCACTCTCCATCCATTTCTGCAGGTCCTTGTAAAATGGGATCAAACTATGGATCTCTTGTCAAGGAGGCGATTGTGTTGCTGGACAAGTTCAGTGATGGCAAACAGAGTTTYGATCACTTCATAGAAGGTGCTGAAAAAGATCTGCAGGTAGGTGAAGTCAGATCTGTGTTGTATCTTTTCAGTAACACCAATTTAAATTCAATGTATACTCTTTATACTGCAATGTTTTGTTTGTTTTATCTATAGCTTTTTTGAGGGTTGGTCGTTCTTGTTTACTTTATTCATAACTTTTCCAGAAAAACAGAGAGAACATTGAGGCAGTTATCAAACAAGAAAATGTTTTGCCCGCGATTTAAAGTTTATTTAGATTTAGAAAGATATTTTTTTACCTATAAGAGTGTTTTAGGTATGTTTTGAAGTGAATATAGGAACTTTGACAGGTCACCCATTGACAGGGGAAATGTTCGCCAATATTCATTATCACTCCTAAGTTTATCAAAACTCTATTGTTCAGTTTAAAAAGGTCTCATTGCTTAGGAACAGTGGTCCCCAAGTACTGTACATGTTCAGTAATCTTCAACAGAAGATTGCAGAGAAACTCTGGATCTAGGTCCTGACTGAGAGGCATACATTCACTCTTCTGCCAATTTATAGTACACCCTTATAGCTTCCCAAAGGTTTTAATAAGGTCTAACAGTGGTGGGACAGATTCCTCAGACCGTGAGAGGAATGAAGCTATGTCAGCATCTACTGCAAATTTAGTTAGAAATCCTTTTTTTTTTTCCGCAGGACATGGATGCTCAGCATAAGAAGTTCATACTTCGTGTTGTCTCTGGAAGCACTGAGCACAGAAAGTTACTGGACAAAGTTGTCAGCCATTTCTACAGGCACAATGGGGGAAAGTTATCCAGTGGTGACCGGCACCAGTTTGTCAGTAAGTTAATGAAATAAACAGGCATGAATTTTTGTTTTACTCTTGATAAAAGAACATGTTTATAACACTCTGTTGTTCCTCAGTTATCTGTTACATCGCCATATTCATGCTTGAAGACATTGGGATTCAGTGTTTTAAAGACATTGTCAAATCTCTGGACATCAAGAAGATGCACACAGTAAGTTTCTAAACACATCACTATCCTTGAAGTGGAAAGACACAGCAATAAAAGCTC